TTAACACAGGGGCAGTGACGCAACGGCTGTGTTGTTTTCTTGCCAGTTCCCACAGTTACATGGTAATTTATAAATCCAGCGTATATGGTTGTTTCTTTAAATTATGTGATAAGGCTTCAGTCTTATTAGAACTATCATATATATAGTTAATGTAATGTTAATATTTAATAGCCTTTGTAAATCTTCACAGTAATTTTTGAATTGCGTGATGTTTATTATCAAATCTGTTAGCTTTGACATCAGTGGTGTAGCAACTAATGGTTGGCGGTAGTTTTGTTGATAAAAATTTTATGGTGTAAATATTGTTATTACAGAGAATAATTTTTATGTAATTTGTTATTTTGAGAAATTCCTTGCTGCAGAGCTTCAGAGCTCATTGTTAAACCAGCAGAGACCGTCTGTTTATCGTTTATGTGATTGTGGTAGTGAAATTTAAATGTTTGTGTTCTGTTACGTTTGATGTCTATGGACTGTTGATTTCCTGCTCGTAAATTAATCGCCTTTTACAATCAGATACTTCTGGCATATTCGATTTTAGTCGAGGTTGGCGCTGCACCACAAGCTAAATCAATGCTACATGGATCTTTGATTGTCTGATCATGTACAGTCGTCGCAGTTGTTGCAAATATGCAGATTTAAATAATAATACCGGATTGAAACGGTGAAAATGTACATTGCAAAGAAATAAAAATTATTTTTTACTTTACAGCGATGGTAAAGTTAAGTTCTTAAACCTGGTTGTACAGCAGTATTGCACCGTCCATCGCTTCTAGGGACCATTTATCAGGCCATGGTTCCATTTTTTCAGCGCCTGTAATGCCTAAAACGCATGACCGCGTCTTGTAGTTGGGTTGAACAAGGGCAGGTTCGAGTCGAAACACGTTTGCGACTATCCTTAGGCTAATGCATACAAGAATGTAGCCCGATTTTCTGAGGTAGCTTCCAGGAGTGAGAGGTTTTCAATACCGCCTTCAGTATATAATGATTCAAATAAATCATACCGCTCCGCAGATTTGTCAAGAAGCACGGAGCGGCGCAATATTGCTAGGTATAAGGTATGAGACTTTCGTTCAATGTCGCTGTAAAGTAAGAAATAATTTGTTTTCATTACGCGGTGCAGTTTCGCCGTTTCAATCCAATATCACTAATCATTTGTATTGTGATATATTAACTGGCGGTGTTGAGAAGCTCCCGCTTCTAGAAACTGTCTCAAAACATCGAGGTTATATTCTTATGTGTAGTTTCACAATTTGTTCTTTTACTTTTAGGAATGAGTTGACGGGAGTTGGATCTTTGCTCTATCAGTTCCACTCTATCAGGTTTATACTTTGATAAAGCCATGACATGATGCATTTGCACTTCTTCGTTCCAAACCAGGAATATTAGCCTGTATCAGTATTATTCCAGTCCAGTTAAATTAATGTCCCATGTTCTGCTTATTGTCGAGATTTTTAAATTCGGTGAAGTTTTGTTTTCAAGCGACTAAGCGAATGGATAAGGGAGCTAAAAGATCAACAAATTATTGTATTAACGGTTAAAAGTACATTTAATATTTTAAATTTTACTTACCAACTACTCTTTGCTGCTTTCCATTATGTCGCTTGAGAGTTTAATAGTTTGAATGATATATTTATCGTTTAGTGATGCAAAACATATGGCTCGAGACGTGCAGAATACCCTTGTAAAGATTTTCATCGAAGAAGGAAATCTGTCGGTGAATGAAGCAGATGAATATTTAAAATCCATGGAGAAAAAGAAACTTTATCAGGCTGATATTTGGAGTTGATACCTTGTCTAATTTGTTCTATGCAGTTCTGTTTTAAACAGT